ATGCAGTTACTCATTTATATCATGACTATTATATATATATATAATATTTTTGAGTTTGTAATAATTATACATTTTGATGAATATAAATGTAATTATGTTTCTTTTTGTTGTATATATGAAATGTAAAATAACTGGCTTAAAGAAAAAGTAAGATAATTCCACTTCTTCTAATATAGATCCCCCCCCCCAGGTTTTACCTTTTTTTTTTTTTTTTTTTCATTTGAGAAGTGAATTAACCTTTTCATTCTTAGAAGCCTATCTAACCTTTCAATATCACTTTACAACCAATATGATGTATTATTTTCATTTCTAGATAAGGATCACATTGACCACCCTTAATGGCTTCTCCAAGCTTTTAATGTTGCATCATTTATTGCTTCTTGATTGTGCTATATTCACCTTTAGGGGCAGGGGCGGATCCAGCTTCTTTTTTTAGGGTGGGCAAAATTTTTTTTTTGTGGGGATGGGCAAAGATGCTTAGGATTGATTAAATGAGGGCAAAAAAATTTTTTGAGAGGGGGCAAAATACCCAAAATATTTCAAAATATCTCACTAAAATTAAAAAAAAAATTTGAGGGGGGGCAAATGCCCCTCAACTAAATGGGGATCCGCCCATGTTTAGGGGAGAGTTATAATGACATCCTTAGCTCTTATATGAACTCTCAATATCAATTCATATATTGCCCTAAGATTATATCACTCTGATCACCTTTAGTAGACCATCTCTATCATCCTAGTTATCATCACAACCTTTCAATATCGACTCATTTTCTACGCCAAGGCCATACTAACCCCACCTCCAATTGTAGGATTGTCTTTGCCATTCTCATTGGCCTTGCCAACCTCTTAAGCCTATCTCATTCATCACGTCTATCATAATCCAACCAAATGTCATATCATAATAGGTTATAGAAGGTTAAATGTGAAAAAAAAGATTTTATGGAATATCTATTTGAACAAAATTTTCTTATCATAAAAAGTATATAATAAAGAGACAAAGCATAAGACATCATATATAACTATTTACACCCAAAATATTTATAAATAATAATTATGACACTTTAATATTTTCAGCGTGAAAAACATGATTATAAGAGAATCAATCCACATACACCAAAAAGTGAGAGATAAAGATTTTTTTGAAGAACTATTTGAAAGGAATATTTTTATCATCCAAATTTTATAATAAAGAATATTAAATTATCTTAGTATTAAAATAAAGCTGAATTCATTTCATAATTATTTACACCTAAAGTATTTATAAATAATAATCATCAATAATTTTAACAACATATATGAAACACATTATTATAAAATAATCAATCTGTAAAAAAAAAAAAACCTCTATAAATGCAACAGGGGAGAGCAAACAATCCATTAGCTTACATCAACCTATCATTATATTCAATGCATAGAAATAAAATAATATCTACGCTAACAATAAATTTGGAAATCTTCTATTCGTTTTAATATCATAATTATCATTTCATTCAATCTGAAACAATTTATTCAAACATTTTTAATTTATTTGATTTTTTCTCAACTAATTTTAAAATTATTTAAATTGAACATTGCCCCTTAGTTTAATAATTTCATAGAGCTTGATAATTTTTATATTACATTGAAACCTTTCATATATAAAATTTAACTCAATGTCTCAAAGTACAAGATTGATTCACCTCTAAGAGAAAATTCCATCCTAATAATAATTCTTTCAATATTATTTTTATTTATACCATCTCTTATATCTTAAGGAGCACCATAAAATCATAGTTACTTTTTCTTTTTAATTTTAAAATAAAAATATTGAATTTAATATTGATATGTATAAATATATTTATTTATTAATTCAAATTTTAAAGGCGAGTGATAAAAAAATTCAGAAAAAATCTCACTATAGTCCCCACACTATTCATATATGACCAATTTAATTCCAAAGTATATCACATTATCCCGATTTAGTCCTTCGACTATACAAAATTGAACAAAAGAGTCACTCATATTAATATAAGACTAAAAAGATAAAACTAACCAAAAAAGATAAATTTTGGAATATTAATATATTATAATTGTTATTTGAAATTGAGCACAATTTTATCCCAAAAAAGATAAATTTTTAATCAATTTTGTATAGTCGAGAAACTAAAATTTTGTTTGGAACAATCTTACTATCTGATGAGCCAGTTACTTATTACAAATTTTTTTAAATTTAAAAATTTTATATTAGAAATCTACTTCATAAAATAATAAAAAAGTTATCACAAATGAATGCTAAAGTAGAATGTTATATTTTGGAATAAAACTAATCATATGTAAATAGTCCGAAAACTATTTTAAAATTTAACCTGTAAAATATTATTATTATAAATATAATATTCATATTTTTAAACTTGCCATAGTAGCGGTTCTGCTTGGCTTGCGGCGAGATCGGGTCCGAACCGAACCGGCCAGCTCATCAGACCGGCATATCACGTGAGTACAATTATACCAGAACTGCCAGACTTCTTGGGCCCGCGGCTCTCCGAAAATCGCGTTATTTAACGCGCCTAACCGCGGTTCCCACATCCAATTTTGCGGCTCAAGCACGTTTCTTCCCTTGAGATCGTGGCCTGCTAATTGCCAGCTCTGGCTCCCTCCCTTTGTATGCTTTTTTCAACGTATTTAACTGTGTACATCTTCGTCCAATTGGTTAGATATTTGAGTTATTTTATTTCTGAAAAAAATAATAATTATATATTTTTCTATGAATTATATTTTGAACTTATTTTGAGATTAATATATTATATGATTTTTTAAAAAATAATTTTAATTTTAAAATAAATCCCTCAATTTTCTAGTCTATTTGAATTTAATTTATATTCAAATATTCTAATATATTTTTCTTTTTTTAATAAATTATAATAATTTTGTCATAGATAACATTTTTAATTCATTTACATAAAAGACTAATTGAAAATAAGATTAATTATTATAATAGATATTTATCTAATTATTATCATTTTGAATGTCTTTCCTAAGAAAAATAAGACGTATCCTTCTTGAGACCACTAATGATCAAGTATACAATAATATTTAGAAGATTGAGTCAGATCTCTTAATCTCTCAAATGAATTATTATAAAGGTTCAATGATGTGCTTCATAAAAAAAATATAAGCTTAATATCGTGCACCTAAATTTATGGGAAAAGAAATTGAGCTCGAGGATCCAAATTTGAATAATATATCACTTGATTTGCATGCCCTACACAACACTCGATACCTAATATATTTATATATAAGAGCTCTAATCGACACTATATGATGAACCATTATAAGAATAATTGGGCACATGTTATGATATGTCACATGGCAACCTAATCCTTCTCTCGTATTGTGACTTTATTAAACAAATTGTGCTTAGAAGAGGAACTCAGTGAGTATATTAATTGTTCGAGTGCTGATTAATAATTATATGTGTATGATGAGTGTGACTTTTGGATATTCATTGGTCAAATTAAGGCTTCGTTTGGAACGACTTTCTTATGCTTTCTTAAAGTAGTTTTTTATTATAAAATTTTAATTTTTGTACTGAAAAATTACTTTATGAAGCAGTAAGAAAATTATCCCAAACGAAACCTAAGTAGCTGATCAATATGTTGGATCGAGTCATCTGAAGATAAAATCTTCAAGAATGAGATGGTGGTTAGTGGTTGAAGACAACGTCTATTGGCAACATGCATAAATGACTCGATTCATGCTAATCAATACTCGTTGACTTCTAAGACCTTGTTTATGTTCAATTTTTGACTTGGTGGACTTTACCCATGAGGGGAAGTCCACATGAAAAGGAAAAGTTTAATTAAAAAAAAAAAAAAAAGATTCAAGCGATAGTATTTGTAAGTAAAACTCCACAGTCAAAAATGTGGGACTTGTAGTCCTTGAGGATCTATAGCCTTTAAAGATTTGATATACTCTTTGGAACTATAGATAAAGAAAAATATTTACTTATAAATATTTAGAAAAATTAGTTATTTATTTTATAGAAAAATTAACTTAGTGATCGAGGAATTCAAAAGATTTTTAATTCCTTTTTTTCTTATCAATAAAAAATATGTAATAAGAATTTATTAGAATAGTTCAAAATATTTTGAGCATTGGAAACAAATAATACTAAAATAATATATTTCCATGAAAAAATAAATTGGTAAAAAAGGGGCATCATTCGCTATTCCTAATCAAATCCTTACTCACTAGAGAAATTATTACATGCGGTCATTGGACACAGTTCGAAGGCGAATCAATACGCGTCGCATCACTATTTTGTTATGTACCCATGCATGTTGTGTGCCGGGTGACGTAACACATCTTGATTCCCCTCCAAACGATCTGGTGACCACAAGTAATAATCTATCCACTCAATAAGGCTTCTATCCTAACACCCCATCGATTTTACTTGCACCATGTCACTATACATAATACATATATGACGATAATTTTAATGATTCATTTATAAATGTGGGTTTTTAAAGTCAAATGTATGATATATATATATATATATATATATATATATGATTTCCTCTATCCTTCAAGGTAGGACAAAAGCACCATCAACATAGGAACCCTAAGCATTCATGATATACCTTTGAAGCAAACACTATTGATCCAACAACTTAAAAAAAAAAAAAAAACTAACTATCCAGCCACAGCAGCTCATCGAGATCCGACACGGGCCTGCCTTCTTCTTTCACTTTATTCGTTTAAATACACACGGGTACGGCACACAACACAATCGGAGGCCCCACCTTGTCTGCTTGTGGGTGCGTTCGGGTGTCCTTTTTCGGGTGAAGGAAAAATAAAAAAGTCATTACGAATAAGATAATAAAACTGAGTCAGTAGCGCACATGCTATCAAATTTGAAATTGTCTTCTCCATATAATACAACGAGTGGGCGGCAACTTCGGCTAGAGAGAGACAGAGAGCATGTTATTATAATATTAGTATTTACTTTTCTTTAACTAGAGAGAGAAAGTGAGTCGGGATGGAAAGAGAATACCGCCTTCGCCCTTCGGCATCACCGCCATTTTCTTCCTTAGAATTCATCGCCTAATTAGTAAATGTGTTAAATTACTTAAATATCTCTTTCTTCTTTTTCCCTATTTTCCGGGTGGGCCATGCTTTTCTTCGCTGACCGACTAAAAGATCCGGCCGCCTAATATTCTGATTTACCTGAAAAACTAATTAGGAAATAAATCAATATATTACATATTATTTATATCAAATTTTATTATAATTTTATTATATATATATTTGAAAATATTTAAATCAATTAAAATAAATTCACACACACAATACATACTCAAGAGTTAAACGGAAGACTTCTTCATTGATAATCAAATCTCTTAACCAATAAACCAAGATGCTGAGTCTTTTTTTTTTTCTATATTTAGAAAAAATATTAAAAAATATATTTAAGTTTTATCAAAATAGGTTTAAACAATTTTAAATTTATATTAAGATTAATATAATTTAAGATATTATGTATAAATAATAATTTCCTTAAATTATTATAAAAAATAATTTCCTAAAATTATAAATTTTATTCTTCCATAAACTTTAGATCTTTGCTTCGTCTTACGTGGCAGTTCATTACCTTAAGCTGGATAACGTAATTTTGAATTTATAACATTATTTTAGAACATAATATAATGTATCATAAAATTAAAATTATTATAATTGATATGTATCCAAAAAAAATTTCTTGATCGGGCATGAATCTTGAAGAAAAATCAAGTTAGAAACTTTCGAAATTAAAATTGGGACCATCTGAACTCCAATTCAGCAAACTTATAGTCGAACTGAACGTCTTGGAAATACGAACCCAAAGACGCCAAATTCGACTCGATCCAAGCCCAAATGGGTCAAAATCAAGGACCCGAAGCACTGTTCGAAGGTTCAAACCACAATTTGGATTACCAAACGGTTTCCAAACGTGACATGCTTATAGACGAATCGAGCGGCTCGACGAGACAAATCCAATGAGCACAAGATCACTGAATTCTAACATCACTAAGACATTCAAATGTCCATCAGACGGTCCACAATCAAGGGATTCAACATCAGTTGTCCATTCAAGCTACTCCTCATATTCTCTTGATCTCCCATCTATTTACAAGTAATGCCTTTCTAAAAATCTATAAATAGACCCCTCCACCCTCTTGAAGAAGAGGCTCCAAGCAAGAGAGCAAGAGAGAGATCGGAGATTGCTCTTGCCTCATCGCTCCTTGACCATTGCCTGAGGCCCGGACATCTGCCAGACCACCACCTGAGGCCCAAAAATATGTTGGACCACCACCTGAGGCTTAAACTTTTGCCGGACCACCACTTGAGGCCCGAACTTCTGCCGGACCACCACTTGAGGCCCAAACTTCTACCAGACCACCACCTGAGGCCCATACTTCTATCAGACCACCACTTGAGGCCCAAACTTCTCTTGGACCACCACATGAGGTTGGACTTCTACCAGACCACCACCTGAGGCTCGGACTTCTGCAGGACCACCACCTGAGACCCGGACTTCTGTTAGAAGACCACCTGATGCCCTGAGTTCTACCAGAGTACCACCCTACTAAAAAGGTCTTTCTGACCCTGATCTCTGACAAACTACGGTTTATTGGACCCCTATCTCCTATCAACTATAGTCCTTCAGACCTTCGCCTCCTACTACGGTCCTTTCAACTTACATCGCTAGACAACGGTCTTTCTGACCTCAGTTTCCTGCATACTATGATCATTCCGACTTACATCGCAAGACAATGGTCTTTCTAACCCCGATCTCCTATCTACTACAGTCTTTCTGATCTCTATTCTATCAACTATAGTCCTACCAACCAAATAAACATATCTATGTTGATTATTGTAACTCATACCATGTAATTATATGATGTACATTTGTGACATCAAGCCAAGGCCTTCTCCCTAAGAAAGGCCTCATTTGTAATCGACTGCAAATACTAGTGGATTCATCCAAACTGGGCTAGGCCCCATGGTTTTTCCCATTTTTCAGGGATTTTCACGTAAAAACTCTAGTGTCTCTTATGAACGTTACACCCTCTCTCTTATATGCTTGTGTGCTGGATCTTCGTACAATGTTAAGACGCTAAACTTTATATTTCTCTACCGCCATTAGTACTTTAGAATGCAACAATACTAGTTCATTAAAAAAATTATCATTGCTAGAAAACATAATGTTAGAAAACTTAATGTTGATTCTACACAAATTTCTCAAAATTAAAGCTGATTTATATTAGAGATAAATTTATAAAATATAGAATTGACAAAATAATAATATTCATATTCTGATACATAAACAAAATTGGCCTACCTTCGACCATTGAATTTGATCACGTTCTTCTCTAATTTTAAAATCTTTTAAATATTTTTTTTCTCTTAAAAGGATGGTATATGCTTTTGTCTTCTTTAAAAGCTGAGGAGAGAAAGACTTACGTACCCAAACATAATTAGAATTCAAAATTAATTGATGCCCATCAATGTCATCAGCCATTCAATGGTATATATCATTTGTCTTATCTGTATTTGATTATATTTATTATTTATCTTATCTGTCATCTTAGTATCAATACCATCTGTCTCATTGAGCCAATCAGTTCAATCACCTTGCTCATTTTTACATGCATTTTACATCGCATTCCATATGATGCTCACCATAATGACATATATCATATACACAACATCATATGTAGTTCCCCTTACATGTAAATCTATCTAGTATACTCATCAATATGTGTATATTATGCACAAATGTATGTTATATTAAATGACCTATAATCGTATGCATGCCATGTATCTCGAGAAGTAGATTGGAGGATTGAAAATTTAAGTTAGAAAATTTGTTCTAATATGGGAGCCGCGGCATTGAGCTCTTGGGGAAATAGTGGAAAAATAATGTGTGTTGTGGCATTGGCAATGCCATCATGGGAGCCAAGTCTCGGGTGGAGAGATTATAGGAGAATTTGAAATATTATATGGGAGGGTAGTAGCGCAAATGAGTTGAGCACAATAATGTTATGTTAAGTTAGTGGTTTCTAAATATTAAAATATCTAAAACCATATGAAAAAAAAAAAAAAAAAAAAATCTTATTCCACCAACCACCTTGTTGAGAGGAGGAGGGAAAATAGAAAGAAAAGGAGAGAGTTCGGAGGCTAAAACTTGAGATTTGACCATCGGACTTGTTCAGGGTATTGTCAAGCACACGATAGACTCCTAAACCCCTTTATATGATTTCAATTCAAGTTAGCTTATTAAAAGTTATAAATAAAATTATATTTTTTCGGGTTTTATAAAGTTTTCACCATAAAATTTTTGTTATGTTATTGCATTCATTAAGACATTTTAGCTATCTAAAATTTATGCTTTGCTAATTGATTTTTTCTATACAAAGTTCTAAGTATATCATCACATTGAAGTATTTATAGCAAATACAATAATTATATAAAAGTCTTAAAATTTCGTTATTAATGTTTCTCCGAAGTTAGAAATTGAAAGGGTAAAGTTCAATAAGTATGATGTTTTATAAGTAATGGGGCTTTCCACTAGCATTTCATGCATTATCTAAGCATTATATTAGATTTTTATTTTAATTAACGTTGCATTACATTTACATTATGCATTTCATGGCATTAAAGATGTTATATTATGTGAAAATATGCATTTTTTTTCCTTTACTCTACAAAAAATATGCAATATTTGATAAGTTACAAAGGCTCTATAGACTATAAGTTTTGTTCTTGCCCCATCTCCCTAGTGAAGATGTTGGAGGAATTTTGGCTACACTTGCTGAAAGTGGCAATGTGAGATTTTGTGATATAATTCTATTCTAATTCTGACCCCACTTGGTATATGCATGTGTAGAAGCTAAAGATGGTATATATGGAAGTTGATTCATAAACATACATTAAGACATGCATATTTCATTCATTGTATTACATATATTAATGCTCTAATGAATTAAGTTTAAGTATTGTTCTGAATTAAGCTTTAATAAACTCTTAATCTCAATATGAATTCTAATAAAAATTGAAAGTCAAGTGTAAGTGAAAAGCAATGGACCTTCTTATAACACGTGCTTTGTGAAGTAATAAAAACCTCTGTGAAAATGGTAATACGAGTATACAGATTATGGATGCAAGTGCATACCAAACTTTTAGAAAATATATTATGCTAGTCTTTCCTTCATTTTATTTAATTAATGCAATGTCCTTAAATTATTATTTAATATTTTGAATTGGATATTTCTATCAATAATGGATAAGGAAGAGAGTCTATTGAGTTAGTTATGCTTTTAAAGAAAATAAAGAGTCCAATAGAGTAGATCAGATGTAGAGGTGGAATCACTAAGTCCTAAGCTTTAAGGTATTATTTTTGCAATCCAGTATTTAATTATCTTGATGTATAGATGATTGGAAAGTTTACTGGATATTATATTTTAAAAGCCAACACATATTAATTATAGCGTTAATAGCCAACCTTCCTTGCTTATATGCAAAAAATTTATTTTTATGTGCAATATGAATCAATATAATATATGAAGTACAATAATTTATAAAATGCATAGAAATCTATTAAATTTATTTACTTAAAAATTTCACGTCTTCTAATTAATGTACCCACTAAAAATTTAATATATTCAGATCAAAATGCTCATATTGATGACTTCTATTACTTACCAAAAATTATGCTGTGAAAGTTTGCTAAAAATTAAGATATTATAACTTTTACAAATTTTGACCAAATTAAAATTCTAATCATTGAAATTAGGTATAAGGTAATAATTGCTTATAACGAGTCCAACAACTTTCACAATATAACTGATTGACAAAATAGATTGCAAGTCTTATGAATCCTAATTATACTTTTCTCTCTCCTATATTTTCTCTTTAATTATTTTCCCCTTCTGCCCTGTGTTATAATGCATGGGAATGAAAAATAGTGTTTAATAGATTATGTAGTAGATATTAGATATTTAGGAATAAAGTAATATAAAGGATATAAATATATTATTTTATTTGTTCAAATTTTACTATAAAATTTTATACTACTAGCAAAGACGAAAAATATGAATTCTACTTAATATAGTATGAAATACAATAGCTTTATTTGAATTATATCTTTTAAGTTCAATGTAACTATCATCTTTCAATGAGAAAAATACATAACCAAACTTAATAAATAGATGTATTTATATTTCATCATTGTTATTTAATTTAATTTATTCAATATATTTTATCACATGCTTTTTCTTCTATTATGACAATAAGGAATTTTTTTTTTGTTCGATTAATATCTCGACCTAATAAGAAACAACCAAATTATTTCTTTTCAATAAACTTAGAAAAAAGAGAGCATTATTCGTTTACTCGCTTTCTCCTCATTCAAAAGAAAGAGAGAAAAATTCAATTCAACTATGTTCACTAATCATTTTCATTCTCATTCCTTTTTCTATCATACAATGCCTTCTAAAAAGCGAGAAATTATTCTATGTGGTCACTAGATGGTCCAGAGCAGAATTAGGATGCGCCACGTCACATGGTACACAACTGTAATATACCACAAAAAATGATGTGGCTCTTCCTGATTCCCGATCTAGACGTCATCCAGTGACCACACAGAATAATTTCTCCTAAAATGGAACTAAAAAAAAAATCTAATTGTCTAGTCATCGATAATTAGAATGTTATACAAATATCACCCAATCAAAGAGCTATGGGACCCTTCAAAAATTTTTAGAAGGCATCCCCTTAAACTAAAATTGGACATCTTGGGGATTCTATAAAATTTGTCAAAAAATATTGACAACTATATAAAATAACTCTAAAGTTAGCTTATTTTTATGTGGTTATTCTAAGCCAATTAAATTATTAACTTTAATTTATTTAACCCTATACTTTAACTAACAATTTATTATTTGAAATTAAATGTTTATTTTTACTAATCCCATTTCTTTATTTTTTTATCTCACTATTTCTTAGTAGCATCCAGTTATTTAAAAATAAAGCTTAATATTATCAAATATTTGTGCTAATGGCTACACTATAACGGTAAAAATGTAATTGTCCCCCTTCATTCGAGTACTTTTTTTTTTAATTTATAAATTAATTTGCTTAATGTTCTTAAAAATATTTTATCAAATATTTCTTTATTCTATTATTTTGATTATTAATTTTTAATATATAATAATAACGAAGTAGTAATCAAATAGTTTGAAGGAATTACAAGATTAATTAAAGTGTGTAAACGGGGTGGGGGAGTTTGAAATGTATGAGTTAGGAGTAGGAATGATCATACATATGAAATGACACAAAGAATATATAATTTCTTGTAATATAAGAGCATATTTTGAATAATAAATATTTAATTGATTAAAATTCTTATACAAGATTGATACGTCATCACAAAATCATCTTGATCGGGCACGAATCTCGAGGCAAAAACTAGTTGGAAACTTCAAATATTAATTTCGGGAGCATATGAACTCCGATTTCAGCGAGCTTACAGTCAAACTGAGCGTCTCGGAAATACAAACCCAACGACACCAAGATCAACCCAATCCAAGCCCAAATGAGTCCGAATCAAGGGTTCAAAGCACTGTTGGAAGATTCAAACCGCAATTTGAGTAACCAAACGGTCTCCGATTTTGACGAGCTTATACTCGAATCGAACGGCTCGACGAGACGAATCCAACGAGCCCAAGATCATCTAATTCCGACATCATTAAGGCCTTCAAATAACCAACGAACGGTGTATGATCAAAGGATTCGATATCGGCCGTCCATTGGACCACTCCCTATTCGCCCCTGATCTCATGCCTATTTACGGGCCATGCCACTCC